TTGATCGGGCTGGTCTTGAACTCCCAACCTCAGGTGATCCGCTCACCTTGGCCTCCAAAGTGCTTGGATTACAGGCATGAGCCACCACGCCCAGCCCAGGGTGCAACAGTCTGGTGGCCAGACAGAACTTTGGAGAAAAGGGACCTACCTTCAACTCTCAGAAGGACAAATACCTTTAGGCATATGGTAAGATGGATAAAATATGTATTGTTGAAAGAAAAACAAAGTTGCAAAACAGTGAGCGTTAATGTCTCATGCAGTTAAAAAAAGAAAGAAAAGAAAATGCTGGGCACAGTGGTTCATGCCTGTAATCCCAGCACTTTGGGAGGCTGAGGCAGGAGGGTCAGTTGAAGCCAGGAGTTTGACCCAGCCTGGACAATATAGTGAGATCCCGTCTCTACAAAAGATTTAAAGCAATGAGTTGGGCATGGTGGTGCACACTTGTAGTTCTAGCCATTTAGGAGGCTGAGGTGAGAACGTTACTTGAGCCCAGGAGTTCACAGTTGCAGTGAGCTATGATCATGCCACTGCATTCCAGCCTGGGTCACAAAGAAAGACCCTGTCTCTGAAAATAGTAATGATATACAAATGTTAACGTTTGTATTGATAAAATATCAGGGCTGGTTGGGGATATGGAGTGCTACACTAAAGGATTAAAACACTGATATTCTCTGAGGTACAGAGAAGATTACTTGGAGCTTTCATACGTTTCTGAATATATGGTCTGAGCTTTCTATAGTGAAATTCTATAATTAATTTATGATTTGAATGTTCTAAAAGAAACATGCGTTTAGTCCTATAAATCCTAAAACAAACATATTTTGTAAGCAGTGGTTTCAGTTTGTATCACAGATTCCCATTCAACACAGTCCATTTCAGCAGCACGCACTGCATTTACTGGTGGACCAGGCCCTGGGCTGTGTGGAGAGGCAGCTGCTATTTTGGAGAAAAGCAAGGATGTGGAGGCAGGGAGGTAACCCTCTGTGTGGCCCCACCTACCTGCTCTGAGCCTCTCTTTCCTCTCAAACACGGATGTGACAGCAATTGTGAGATGCCAATGAAGGAACAGATGGGGAGGTTCTGGGCATGTGGGCATTGCTGGGCATCGTCTCACATGAGCCCGGAACAGCTCCATAAGATGACTACCTCCATTTTACAGAGGTGGAAACTGAGGCTCGGGGAGGTGGACTGGAAAGCCCAGATCACACTGAGATCAGGTGTCAGTGTCAGGACGCAAATGCTGGGTGTGTGAGTCTCAGGTCAGACACCTCCAACTTAGCCCTGTCTGTCCTGCCATTTGTTCAGCCCCTCCTGTTTCCAGATGGGGCTTTGCTGTCTAGCACACCTGACAATTACCCTTCGGGATCATGTATGTGTCTATCCTACCACACAGCTGTCTCCCTGAGGGCAGGGACTTTATTTTTTCATAGCTATATCCCCAGCAACTAGAACTGTGCCTGGCCCATGGTAGGTGCTACATTGCTATTTGTTGATTGAATGAATTAATGGATGGGAATATGAAAGAAGTCCCTAGTAAAGAACCAAAGGAAGTGGACCTGGGGCCCACGGAGACAGTGCCACCCTTCCAGGTCACATGGCTGGCAAGGGCAGAGCAGGACCCGCGCCAGGTCCTGAACTCCCACTCAGTCCTGCTTCTCCCAAACCCAGAAGGCTCAGTTCATCAACACTTCTGTCCACAGCCACCAGAGACCATGGGAACAAATCTGTCTGGTGCAGGAAGGGATCAGGATGAAAGAGAAGATGCCTGCATTCTGATCCTGGCTGAACTTCTCCCTGCTAGTCCTGCTTATGCCTCAGTTTCTCAATCTGGAACATGGGCACCTGCCTCTCTGCTGACGTGGGTGGAGGAGGATTTGGGAGGAATGCGCAGAGGTGGTCCTTCCTGCCATCCTTCCTCCCTCAGGAGGGGCCGGGCCAGCCTGAGGCACTGGGGCCAGGGCATGGGCGGTGTTGTGAGAAGACGCCTCTGCCACAGAGCCACAGGGTCAGGGATGGGAGGCACCTTGCCTTTCTGATGCCATCACTGTAGAATGGACGAGAAAGCAGAGGCCTAGGGAAGGGAAGGGCCGCGGCCCGGGACATGCAGGAGTTAATGGCGGGCGCAGGCAGCACAAGAACCTGGGTCCTGCCTCCCAGATCAGGGCTCTCCCCTCCCTGAGCACAGAGAGACCAGGGACAGAATCCACCTGTTTCATCACTGTCCTGCCCAAGAAAGCCCAGGTCTACAGGTTGATATGGATGACAGGCCAGGCAGGGCCCCGGCTCTGCCCCAGCCCTGGCCTCCCAACGCAGGCTCTGAACATCAGGACGCAGGCTTGACTTCCTAAAGCAGGGCTCTGCACAGAGGCCTGAGCCGTGGAGGGGGCCTGTGACAGCCCCACCCTCTGGGTCCCACAGGCTGCCATCAACAGTTGGGGCCTAGGGTATCAGGCCTGGCTTTTCGGGAGCCAGATGAGGCTGATAGGAGAGGTGGAGCAGGAGGGAGCAGGTGTGGGAGCCTGGGTGTGGGCAGTGACACCCCAGCGACCCTGCTATTAGATCCCGTGGTGCCTCTGGGGCCACTGACCTTCAGGAGCCTCCAAACACGGAGAGCATCCTGGTATGTGTCTACCCCACCCTGCCACAGCCTCAGTAGTTGCCAGTTAAAGCTACTCTGAGAGAATTCCACTAGTGCAATTAGCACATCAGAATAAAGAAGGCCCTTCTGACAGCTGGCTGTGCCCACCCACAGCCTGGGCTTCCACTAACAACGACCTGCCTGTTAATCCCGCAGTGCTGGAGGCCCCGGGTCTTAATGAAACATGCAGAGCTGATGTGGGAAGAAGCTGGGCTTTGGAATCCACAGCTGTGGATTCACCCCAGATGTGCTGTGTGGCCCTGGGCTGGCCATTTAACCTCCCTGAGCCCATGGGCTGGCAAAACAGTCTCACATGAATGAAATGAGGAATTGTAAGGCTCTGAAAGTTCACGTGCTACTTTTCATTCCAAAAACAGGTACAAACACCTTTTGTTTGGCTTTCTGAATCTGTTTCTAGGTTTCACATGTGTACAAGACATATGGAGATGCTCCTGTCACCTCCGTACCAGGCCATAGCTGGGAGGGTCTGGGGCCAAGAGAGGCCAGGTCCAGTTTCACCATCAGAGGGGAAAGGAACAGGCTTTCTGCTTCTCCCCTCTATCAACCAATCACACAACAACCTTGAGGACAGATCACCAGGCACCTCATTTTCCAAGGAGCAACCAAGGCTCAGAGAGGGTGAGGAACTTCCCTAAGGTCACACAGCAGGGGTAGCCGCTGCCCAATTCATAGCCACAGCCCCCACCAGGCTGTGCATGCCTTGACTCAGGGGATGCCAGGGGAGGTAGGATGTGAGCTGGGTGGTGACTCATTCTGATGGGTGGCTCCCGAGGGGACATTCTTGGGTGACTCCATCCATAAGTTTTCTTGGTCCTGCGCCCGGGGCCAGCCTGTCCTGATGACAGAGCCCCAGCCCCAGTTTCGCAGATGGTCTCCTCTGTCCCACATCTCCACCCTGTCCTCTAACTAGGAAGGTGGCATCCAGATCCCACGGGCCAGAGTCCTGTGCCTGGCACTGGCGCTCAGTGATGGTGAATGGCTTCCTCCTGCTGCTTGCCCCCCACCTCAGCTCACCACCAGCTCTGGGTGGTGGGGAACAGAGGCTCGGCCATGCCTTCTTCTGCCCTAGTGTAGGAAGCAAATGGCTGAGGGCCCCCACAAAACCTGCTGCTGCTCAGTGCCCTGGGTTCTTCGGCCCAGACTCCTCAGAAAGCTCTCTGCACCCTGAAAACCTGGCCTGACAACAGAAATGTCATCTCCTTGAGCACTGGATGGACAGTCAGGCTTCCTGGGTCCGTCCTGGCTCAGCCGCATAGAGGCTGTGCTATCCTAGGCATGGCGCTGCCTCTCTGAGCCTCACTGTCCTTATCTGGGAGATGGGGATACAGACCGTGGCTGTTACCAGGGTTGCTGTGAGGATGGAGAATGAAAGATGCTGTCGGTGGAGGGAGGCTGGAGACCCGGGCAGGGACCCTCTTCCTGCTCTCAGCCCCACAGCTCCCCCACCTCAGGCTGAACTGTTGTCCTTGGCTCTCCAGACCCCGGCTTGTCACTTGCCACAGAGAGGAGGCAAAGCAGATGGGGGACCTGACCAACAGTCACTATACGACCACAGACCAAAGAGTTTAGCACTGCAAAAAAAATCTCTGGGCTCCTAAGGAGTAAATAGCTCCCGGGTTTGATAAAAGATGTTGGCAGACAGGAAAAGCCGGGCTTTGCCTGGGAGAACAAAGTGGGTCCAGCTGCCCACTGGGCCATTCCACAGGCCCAGACACTCACCCTACGCCAGGCCATATCCCAGGGGCTGGGCCCAGGGTGACAAGGCCACAGTCCCTGCTCCACCGACCTGGGTCTGCTCCTTCCCCAGCCGCTCTCCTGACAGCTGCACCCCACCCAGGCTCCAAACAGGGAAGAGCCTGCTGTGGACTCAGGGCACCGGGTCAGCTCTGGTCACTCTGATGATGTGACCACAGGTTTCCACGCTGAACTTTGGCCCTCTCCTCAGTACTGCCCTTATCACAGTGACAGCATCCTGGCCTTGTTTACTCACCTGTCTCCCCCGGACCAGGCTGTCTTCCTGGGGCTGCCCAGGTGGGCAAGACCATCACCTGATTCTTACTGCCTTCACCTGGGTGCGTTTGGGGCAGGTGAAAGCAGGGTGAAGGGCTCCCCTGGGAGTCCACAGGTCCCCCCACTCTGCTCCTGACCACCCCGCAGCCCAGGGTACCCCAGGACCCTTAGACCTTCCCTGGCCAAGGCGGTCGCACTCCCCTAGGGGTCGCGTCCACCGCCTGTGACTCCCGGTTCGGCCAGGGCCCAGCACCGCCTGCGGAGGCACGCACTCTCCCCTGCAGCCAGCTCACTCTGAGGGTCCCCGCGGAGCGCGTGCGGCCGCACTCACCCATGTTGACGAAGCTCATGATCAGGTCGGCACGGCCCAGGCGCCGCTCCGGGAGCGCGCCGTCCTCATCGTCGTCGCTGGCCATGGCGTGGTACAGGTCCAGCATGAAGAGCGGCGCGGACGCGGGCAGCCGGGAGGCGGCGGGTGGCGCGCGGGGCCGGGGCCGCCCGGGCAGCCCGAGCACAGCCAGGATCTCGCGCTGAACGTCCCGGCGCTCGCGGGCGCCCAGACGCCACTGGGAACGGCCGGGCGGGGGTCGCGGGCCGGGGCCGCCCCCGCCCAGCGCGCACAGCGCCAGGCCCAGGAGCCAGAGCGGGCCGGGGCGTGCGGCCATGGTGGGCCGGGGGTGCTCAGCGGGTGCGCATCGGCTCCGCGGCCGCCCCTGGGCCCGGAGACGCCCCGACGGCGAGCGGGGTGCTGGGCTCAGCGGGCAGCGGGACAGGGCGGGCGGCGTCCGCGGCCTCAGCGCGGTCTCCGGAGCGCCTCCCGCGCGGCACCTGCCCAGGCTCCCAGACGAGCGGACGCGGACGCCAGCGCCTCGAGGTCGGGGCTACTCCGCGGGCTGGGACTGTCCGCCAATCCGTCTGTCGCCGCCGTGCCCGCCTGTCCGGCTGTGGCCGCGGTCCGCGCAGCGCAGGGGCGACGGGCGAGCTCCGGCAGCGACCCGGGTGGTGAGATTCCCGCGAGTCCCTGCCCCTGCCCCTGCCGTCGGTGCCGCCCGCCTCCCACCCCGTCCGACCAATGGGGGCGCGGGGGCGGGGCCAGGGCGCTGAGGCCACGCCCACGAGGGGGACCATTGGCGGCGGCCGGTGTCGCGGGTGGGGCGAACTGGAGGTGCGACCTGGGCGTGGCAGGTGGGCGGCCCGGGCGAGGGGCCCGCAGCAAGGACGTTAGCGTGATCAGCGCCGTCGTGGCTCTTGCCGCGGGCCTCGGCGCAGAGATCCTAGGGCTGCAGCGCTGTCCCGGGAAAGCAGGACCCGAGTCCGGGTCCAGCCAGTGGTGCCACCCGGCCGCCCCGTCATGGTATGCGGAGGTCGCTGTGGACTCCAGGAGCTGCCTTCATCTTGCCCCAAACGCGCCCAGGAGTAAAAATCAGATGATGTCCTTGCCCACCTGAGCTGCCCCAGGAAGACAGCCTGGTCTTGGGGAGACAGATGAGTAAACAGAGGCTGGGATGCTGCCACAGACCTGGAGGGCCGGGCGGTGCCAGCCAAGCCCCGAGGGTGGGGCACGTTCTTGTGCCTGCAGCAGCCGGCCCGGGTTCCGGCCACTGAGGCCGCTCGCCGCCTCTTGGTGCTTTCCCCGCGGCCCCTGCCTGCGCTGCTGCGGGTGCCTTCTTCCCGCACCCCCCACCTGGCTCTCGCGTGCGCCCGGGCAGCCCCCCCAGGCGGGCCGCCCCCGCCAGCCCTCGCTGCACGCCCTGTGCCCCCGGTACTGATCCAGCTTCGCGGAGTAGACTTGGCCTCCTGCCTCCAGCCGGGCCAGGAGCTCTGGGGCCCTTCCCGAGCACCTGGGAGCCACCCATGCACATCTTCTCGCTGCCACGGCCCCCGCGCAGGCCTGGCAGGAGAAGGATCCCCGCGGAAACGCCTGGACTGACTCAGCCCCTTTCTGTACACCCTGCTCTTCCCTGGGCGCGCTCTCACTTTATTTATTCATGTGTGGTTCAGGCGCTGCAGAAGGGGAAGGCACCTAGTCTGCCCTGGGAAGGCTGCTGGAGTTGACCTGGAGCTCCAGGAAAGGTCAGTGGAACAAAGTGCTCCAGGCAGAGGGAAGAGCTTGTGCCAAGGCTCTGAGACCCCCGGGCCGGGGAGCCTAATAATGGCAGGTAACAGTCAGCACTTGCCACGCGCAAGGGATGTTCTGAGTGCGTGTCCCGTGTCATTTCTGTAATGCTCACATATTGTTAGGGGGTATATACCATTGGAACCTCCTCTTTTAACAAATGAGGAAACTGAGACACACAGCGGTTAAGGGACTTATGCCAGGTCACACAGCAGTGGAGCTGGGCTGGGGCAGGTGGGCAGCTGCTCAGTGGAGCCTGGAGAGCCCAGGGGGCAAATGGCTGAGGCTGGAGGGGCTGGCAAGGGAGGGACTGCAAAGGGCCTCACAGGGGCTAGACGAGGTCCCTAAGCACCAGAGATTATGGTGCCCCCCATGTGGATTGAAGATTAAACCTCCAAGCAAGTGTATAATGCCCCCAAAATCACATTTTGAAGTCATCGCTTCAATAAAATTTTCTCTATTAATAAATTATTAATGTAAATAGTCATTTGCTGATGTCTTAAGCACATGCCTACTCTGTCTTTTACCAAAGAGGTAAATTTCTGCAAGGCCAGGTAAATAATGAAATGAAATAAAAATTATTATTATACTATTCAGAGCACTAAAAGAACCACTTTTTCCTGATTACAAAGGTAACTTGCTTATTGTAGAAACTTTTGAAAATGTAGAAAGATAAAAATTCACCCCAAAAAAACTTTAAAAATCACCCAAATCCCTGTTTCCAGAGATAACCACTGGTAAGATTTGATGCATCTTTTTCTTACACTTATGTGTATATTTTTAATACAAAAAATAGTATCTTACTTGCTTTATTCACTTCATGTTATATTGCAATATTTTACTATGCCATTAATTATTTCACACTTCTTTTTGACTGGCTTCTTGGTATTTCTTCATCATAATTTATTTAATCAAGCTTATGTTATAAGATAATATATTTATATTTTTACATTATATACAATGCTGTTATGAACAATCTTATAGAATAATCTGTGTGCATTCATGATGATTTCTTTAGGATGAATTTCTAGAGATGGATTTTTTTTTTTTTTTTAGATGGAGTCTCGCTCTGTCACCCAGGCTGGAGTGCAATGGTGTGATCTGGGCTTACTTCAGCCTCTGCCTCCCGGGTTCAAGTGGTCTTTGTGCCTCAGCCCCCTGAGTAGCTGGGATGACAGGTGTGCACCACCACGCCTCATTTTTGCATTTTTAGTACAGACAGGGTTTTGCCATGTTGGACATGCTGGTCTTGAACTCCTGGGCTCAGGTGATCTGAGTGTCCCAAAGTGCTGAGATTACAGGCATGTAGGGATGAAATATTTGAATCAAAGAGCATATACACTTTTTATGGTTTGTGATACATATTATCTGTTGCTCCAATACCATGAGGGTGCTTATTTTCTTTCACCCTTACTAATACAAGCTCTAACTGTTAAATACATAAATAAATAAATCTCTGCTGATTTGATAGATTAAAACATCTCTCTGCTGTTGTAACTTGTATGTAGGGGGTCACTACACACCACTCTCTTGTTTTTGCAACACTCTCCTTCCCTGGCTTCAAGGTTGCCTGCTCCCTTGCTGACCACTCCTTCCTGCCCACTTGTAAAGCATGGATGTTCCCCTGGGTCTGTCCACAGTCCTGTTATCCCTCTTAGACTCGACCTGGTGATGAGCTCACCCACTGAGACTTCAGTGCCGCCATACAGTCACACCTAACTCCAAATATACTAGCAGAGCAGGCCTTCCTGCTGGATGCCAGAAGCTATATCCAACGACTGATGAGACACAACCAGAGCCCAGAAACCAAAACCCTGGCACCGACGTAGGTCCCTTCCTCCCAAAGGCAGTTCAGTCTATTGGTTCTACCTTGGAATGCTTCTTGAATCCCTGAGCCTGTGCACGCCCCCTTACACTCAGGTGTTTCATGGAGCACCTCCTCCCCACTGGTCTCCTTGTTTCTCATCTCACCACCCGCCCAGCCCTCACTCATTCTGCAGAATGCATTTCCAAATGAAAATCTGAGTCCTTTCATGGCCTTTCATTGCTTATAGCAGAATTTCCCCAGGTGAGGCTTCTGAGGGCTTTCCTACAACAGGGATTCAGTATACACTGAATTATTATGTATAATAATAACAGTATACTCTGTTACTTCCCTGTTGGGAGATCCCTCATGCACTTGGCATTTTGTAAGCTCTGAGAAGTCCTCCAGTTAAGAAAAAAAAATCTGTTTAGCCTAAACTTGGCTTCTTCCAAATGCATGTGACTATGACTTTTTAGTTTGTGAGGAACACATCTTGAGGACCAGCAAGGCACAATGTGATAAGTGCCCAGGACCCAGTGGTCTGGTCCCTGCTGCCGACTCATCTCCACAGTCTTGCCTGGCCACTAACCTCATATTCTTTGCTGCAGTCTGATGGGAATACTTCTGGTCCCCCACCTGTCCTGCTGTTGACACTTCTGTTCACCTGAACATGTGGTTTCCTCTACCAGGAAGGGAAATCCCTTTGCCTATCTGCTCAGGTGTTACCTCCCTTTAAGATGCAGCTGAAGCAACACCTCCTTTTCGTGATGCCCTCTCCACCTTCATGGGCAGAGTCATTTCTTCCTTCCCTCACGCTCTCAACCACTCCTTTTACCAATAGAAGGACCATCATCTTAATTTGCCTTTGGATCCCGTGCCAGGCTTGCATTTAGGGTTTCAGTAAGTATCTGTGAAACACAGTAGCCTCTCTTTCTCTGAAATAGCCTCTGAAAAGTATAGCCTCTTAACACTTTCAAGGAATGGATCTCACAGCCTTCACAAATTCACTAAGAAGTGCTCATAATTTCGCGGGGATGAAGAACACAAGCACCAAGCTGTGTTGAAGGAGGGGTCAGTGGCCGGCAAGGCTCACTCTCTCACTGCGTGACGAGCTCTCTTGCATACCAGCCTCAAATGCAAATCCATGAGAAGAATCGCTTGAATCTGAAGGTGGAGGTTGCAGTGAACTGAGATCACGCCACTGCACTCCAACCTGGGTGCCAGAGTGAGATTCTCTCAAAAAAAGAAGGAAAGAGAGAGAGAGAGAGAGACAGAAGGAAGGAAGGTAGGAAGGAAGGTAGGAAGGAAGGAAGGAAGGAAGGAAGGAAGGAAAGAAAGAAAAGAAAAGAGAAACATGATACAGGAATGGAGATTATCTCATGTTAACAGACAGCGACACATTTAACCTTTGCATTTGTGATCTCAGGCCCTGTTTAATTCTATCACAGGATCCTACAGTGAGGCCCTAAGTCATGACTGTGTCAGCCCCAGAGGCCACCATGAGGTTAGTGCATTTGTAAAGCCTCATTAAACGACTGCTGAGGGCCCAAAGGGTGTCTCATTTGCTTTCCTTGCTGGGACACACAGGATGCTGAGAAAATCCAGTTCATCGTGTTCCAGGGTGTGCTTACACATCATAAAGAAACAAATAAATGTAACGAGACAGTCCTATCTTCAGGGGGGAGTCTTCAGTCAATGGGTCAAGTCACCTTCTGTTAGTGGACTATGCTCCAATTAAAAGTCAG